GAGATCTAGGTCTCGACGAAACTCAAGCCTGAAAAAGCACACTTCTCTAGGAAGGACGAAGTCGAAAGGCTAGGTACGGTAATAGCCTGGTTTAAGGCGGAAGCCGTAAGGTAACTACTAAGACGCCTCCGTTTGATAGGGGCCAGCATTTTTATAAACCTGTAGTTCCCGAAGGAGAAGAGGTCTCCTTAATATCTCCGCTACGGCGGTTTTTATAGCGAACGAACGTATACCAGAAGGAAGAGATGCCTTAAGTGCAGCTCTCCTTCCCACACAACTGATCAACACCGGGCACCCTGCGGCGGCACTGAGGGTCACGATGGCTGCGACTGCCCCTTTAAATGCCCGTCGTGTAACGGGCCTCACGCCGCCTTCGATGCGACTTGCCCTATCCAACCTAAAGTGGTGAAGGGGGTAGTCCAGAGGAGGGATAAGGCTCAGCTACGGGCCATCCGAGCTAAGGGAGAAAGATTATAGAGAAATACGACCTAGTAATCGCATCGATATTCCTATAAAGAAGAATAAGCAATAGACTATACCCCAGCGAATAAGATATAAAAAAAGAATATAGCCCTCTAAAACCCTACAAATTATATAAGCTGTTGGAACAGCAAAGGCTGATAAGGAGTAATAGGCAGGTACCATGGGCTGGCTGGCACCTGCCTGTTACGCCCGCCGCAACTTGTCACTGTGGGCGCGTAGCTATATATGCAGAACAAGGGATAATGATGACCGGAGTCATCATTATCGAAGCTTTTGCTTTGTGCCACAGTTGGTTGCCTTGTCCTGCTCGTAACATGTCCCTTGTTCTGCATTATATAGCTACGCGCCCACAGTGACAAGTTGCGGCGGGCGTAACACTGCCCTGGGCGAAGTGGGACAACTGGCTTAGTCATCACGGCCGGATAAAGGTGGGGCAACCACACAGGCCGTCACTACCTACTTCGACCGACTCCTGCCTACAATGTAAGATAGAAGAACAACAAGAAGAACAAGCAATAGGATCACCAACAGACGAGTGATAATTGCTACCACTATTTGTCGTATACGACCCCGTGAACCAACATAAGCAAATATAGGCAGGCGGGCATCCGCCCACAAAATAGTACTAAACCTAGCTTACGCAGCCCAGATCGATATATTCCTAATATAAAAGCCGTCTATCCGTTCGGAGGAGAGGAGGCTCACAAGATGTGGCAGGTGCAGGTGGGTCACGTGAGGCAGCTCCTTCACATCTCGGAGCTGCCCCACCTACACCTTGCCCAGATATCCAGCCCAGCCAGCGCTCAGCTTTTCCTATCATCATCATCATCAGATCCAATACAGTAGTATTGCCTCCACACAAGACACCACCCAGGTTTTAAGACTCTTACCCTAATGGATAACTAGACCGAAGACCGTCCTAGGGTACTTACCTACCTCCATAGAGGAACTAGGGTACGAGGCGTATAAATACGGCCTCTACCCGATCCATCTATAGACCTACTCTTTTTACGACTCCTCTTGGGAACGAAGGAGGTCCTTATAGTTATTAACATATATAACGCCCCTCGCGGCTCTCTACGATCTGGCCAGGCTCTTAGGAATATCCTAGCGGCCTAGTAACCTAAACCTGAGGATCGAGTACTGATTGCGGGGGATTTTAACTTATACTATTGGACGTGGCAGCCCGAGGCTACGAGTTCCCCGGACGCTGAAAACCTAGTAGAATGGGCAGAAGCCGCTAGCCTTGTCCTAATATCACCTATAGGTGAACCCACGCACAAAGGCGGCAACACCCTAGATTTATGCTGGGCGTCCAGCAACCTCCATAGGGCTTCCACCAGCATAGAAACGTCACTACACACGACATCAGACCACGAATCTCTGCTTACCCAGGTCCCCTTGGCCCTAATCGATTCACCCAGCCAGACCCCAGGAAGGTTTCGGCTCGACACGATGGACGAGGAGCTTTTCCTCGGCATCATTAAACACAACTTACAACCCATACGCCGCACTACAAGCAACATCCAAGACCCACAGTCTTTAGATCTCCTAGCACAACAGCTTACGGACTATCTTATTAAAGCACTCACGGCTTCCACAAAGCGCACGCTCAGGAAAGGTACAGAAAGACCATACTAGAGCGAGAGCTACACACGTAAATACCGAGCCTATACAAGTAAGCAAGCGATGTTAACAAGACTCCGCGCAGCCGGAGTGAACTACCAATAGGAAGAAGAGGAGGTCGAAGCTCTAAAACAGGACTTCCTCTACGAATTTAAACACTCCAAGGATACCTTTTAAAAAGATAAGATCTCCTCAGCCTCCTCAAACAAAAACATATTTAAAATAGTCGGTTAGCACAAAGCCACAGGATCCTTTCAGACCCCGCCACTCCGAGATATAGACAACCAAGACACGCTTATCTCACAACCAAAAGAGAAGCGCGACTTATTTACCCGCGTCCTCCTTAGAAACGCTGCAATCTCCGAGGACATACCAACAGAAAGCCCAGTCTTACAAAGGCAAGCTACGCTTCCTTTCCCGCAGGTTACAAAGGACAAGGTACGGTCTTCGGTTCTCACCGCAGGAAACACGACTCCTGGGACCGACGGAATCACTACGACTACTTTAAAAATAGCATAGCCAATTATCGAGGATATTATCCTCTCACTTTATAGCGGGTATATACACAAGGGTTAGCATCCTACTTGTTTTAAAGAAGCAACTCTCGTGATCCTAGCAAAACCGGGAAAAAGAGACAAGACACTCCCGCGCTCCTATAGGCCAATTACGCTCTTAGCCGTCCTCGGAAAAGGCTTGGAGAGACTCATCGCTAGACGACTTACCTAGATCGCAGTTAAACATCGTGTTCTACACGATCAACAGTTTAGAGCACTCCCTCTTCGCTCTTACAACGACCTTATCGCAGCAGCCATCCACGACATCGAGTAGGCCTAGCAAAGAGGCCTAGTTACCTCTATACTTACGCTCGATATAAAAGGGGCTTTCGACGCCGTGCTCCCAGGACGACTAGTCCGACGCCTCTACGAATAAGGATAGCCGGAAAACCTCGTACGCTAGGTCTCAAGCTTTATTGCCAGAAGGAGAGCTAGAATAAGACTTAATAGGGAGGTAGGAGACGTCTTCGGTCTCGAATACGGACTACCACAAGGCTCACCCGTATCTCCCATTCTATTTATACTCTATATCGAACCTCTTTTTAAGCTAAGTATAGCTCGCTTAAGAAGGAAGCGATCTCGTTTCGGCTATACCGATAATATCGCTATCTTAGCAAGCTCAACATCACTAGAGAACAACTATAACATTCTAACCAAGGAATAAAAAGAAACCTTAGGATAGGGCGCGACAGAAGGAATCACTTTTAACCTCGATAAGTCCGAACTAATCTACTTCACTAAGAGACAAAAAGACGGAAACCCATCAATCACAGTAGGTTTACCGGATAGGAGGTATCATACAGTTCAGGCCATCAAAGAAGGCTCTTCTCTACGCTGGCTCGGCGTTCACTTCGACCATAAACTCACATTCAAGAGTCACGTAAGAAACCTCTCCGCAAAAGCATACTAAGTAGTCAATGGACTACGGGGACTAGGGAACACTATCTAGGGCGCGCCTACGTACTTACTTCGTCAAGCGATCACCTCTTATATATTACCTACTCAGTACTATACATCTAAAGCATAGTGGCCCGGCAAGAGCCGGATAAAGAATAGACGTACTATCTTAAACGGCGTTAGTAATCTGCTACACCAACTGGACGCGACGCAAACCAAAGCCATTAGAGCGATGGTCCCCGTATACAGAACTACGCCTATACCGATCCTACAGCGCGAGGCGGCTCTGCCCCCAGCAGAGGTGATACTGGACGCGAAGCTCCACACAGCATCCACCAGAATCCATCGTCTGGACGAGCGACACCCTCTCCGAACGAGACTCAGGGACAAATCAGGACCAGACTCACGGCTACGACGAATGGCAAGCCTCGTAAGCAAAAATACCGAATACATCGATCCGTTAGAACTCCCCCCTTGGGAGCAACTAGCGGACTGGCAGACAGCCCTCGCCAGGGTCGGCTACGAACCTAATAAGACCAAAGAAGAACAGGCCCTCTCCTTTGCAGGCAGGATGGCAACTTTCTCCAAGCGGGACATTATTGTCTACACTAACGGGTCCCAGATATCGGACGGCAGCAGAACCTCCGCCGGAGCAGGCTGGGTAGGGTACCAAGCTACACGGCAGATCTTCCGCGGATCCGAACCACTCGGCTCCCAAACTAAGGTATATGACGCGGAGGCACATGCTGCGTATCATGGCCTGATAGAAGCCACCCGGGCTCCTACGGCTCGTATGGCAGATAACGTCCACATCTACCTCGACAACCTCGCAGTCGCGGCTAGACTATACTCCCAGAGCACAGGAAGCAGCCAGGCTAGATTTAGGGCCTTCAATAGGCTCTCTTCCTCCTAGACTCGGAGACAAAGAGAGAGCTAGACAACCCCCGGCAAGGTTTATGCTTGGTGGTGCCCTGGGCACACGGGAGTACCAGGAAATGAAGAAGCGGATGCTCTAGCCAAGGAAGCCTGCAAACTAATCCCAAAATCACAACCACAGCCCTCATTAGCGCACCTAGAAAGGCAAGCTAAAGCAGCTGCCTTCCAAGCCTTTGCCAGAAAATGGCTGTCCCAATGCCCTCGGCAATATACCGACCTCAAGATAATTCTTCACCCCAAGCCGCCCGAACTCCGCCTCCCTCGGCACTTACTACAACACAAGAGCTTGATCCACAACAGCGTCAACCTATGATGGTGATGGAATTGCTTCTGTTACCTTCCTCTCCAGAGTCTAGGTTCATGACCATGGACACCATGTTACTGGGTTGGCTCTAGCACCGGGCGAAGCTATCCAGGGAGTGACCGAGATGACGACTAGGAGACTTCGAATTTTGCCATCAACTCCTCTTCAAAGACAATCAGCAAGTATAGAAGCGTGGGAAATTCCTATAACAGGTTGCCCAAGTTCACTTGAAAGCTCTCATCTCTTCTCTATCATCTTCACATCAACTCGCTCACATCACTCAAGAAACCACAATTCCCATTCTACACCTCCCCATCCACCAGTCCACCACCTAATCCAAAATGTACGCTACCCACATCCTCCTCAGCCTCATCGCCACCGTCTCGGCAATCGATGTCTACGGCTACCGCAGCAACGAAAAGTGCAGCGGCAACGACTACATCGTCTGCCGAAACGTCAACCCAGAAGTCTGCTGCACCCGCGCCTCGGGCGACGTCTTCAAAAGCATCGGCTTCCGCGCCATCCCGACCAACTGGAACATTGTCGGCCGCGCCCACAGCGGCGGGGACTGAAAAAACCTAAAGTACGTCACCCAGTCCAACGGCGCGGAGAATATCTGCTGCGGCGGGAGCAACTACTCTGGCGGCAACTATGGCTTCGTCACCAAGAAGCGCTCTGATGGTACCTGCGCCGCTGCTGGGGGCTGCGCTTCTGTTGCTAGAGGCGACTTGACGGTCTTTGAGAATGGGCCCGAGTTTGACATGACTGGTCTTGATGATGCTCTTTACACTGAACTGGTAAGTACACCCGTTATCCAGTACGTGTGAGACTTTTCGCTGTTCGAAGTGATAGAGGCTAACATTGAATTTTTCTCTTCTAGTAAGCTATAACGACCCCTTTGTCCTTCATATATCAGACCCCTTATAAGTATACCCTTTCCCTTTTTGCTTTACTAACATCCTTGTTACCAACAGTGTTTCTATCTGGGAGAATGGTGGAAGCGCGGATGAGATCCCCTCCAAGTTCGATGCCTACAAGCTTGAGTAGAATCAGATATATCTCAACTAGGGGGCTGGCCAGGTTAGGGGAGGCGTTCAGACGACAACTCACTCAGACCGCTTCATGGTCATCTCAACCCCATCATGACTTTTCTTCAACTTCTCATACACAGCTTTCACCATTTTGAGTCTCCGGGGCTAGTGTTGCGCGGAAACGTAGATAGCTAGCTGCTAATTTCAACAATGACCTATCTTTTATTAATACAAGCGACATCTATTCTTTCTTGCAATAATTTGACGTTACAATTTACATATTGAATGTCACGCTGAGTTGGGGCTAAGACTGACAGGATGTGTGAGTTTGTGAAATATGATTTGCTACAGCATAGCTAGGCAGGAAGAAGATACATCATGCATAAGTTTTGTGGCCTTCGCTGAAGTGAAACCAGCCAACAGCTTCAACCTCTAAAGTGACTTCCTCTCCCCAATACACGTCTTCGGACGTGGCGAGTATATCTTCCAAAACGCCAGCACCTTGGTTCGCGTAAACACAACCACAACTAAGTAAACCCTCACAAGACCACAGAATCCCACATTCCTCCCCTCCTCCAGTCCCTCTCCAACACCTCTCTCAGATCCTCCCACCACTCCAGAATCCAAACTAGAAACCCCCTATCCTGATCCCTCCTATCATCACCAACGAACACCCCCCACCCCAACGTGCTCAGATCCCTCGACACCAGCGGATTCGGGCACCTACAAGACAACATCACCCCAGCCGAAGCAGAAACCTCGCCGGAGAGGACGTCAAGGCATGTTCGTAGTCTACACCGCTGCGCCCAGTCGATTGTCTCGGTTGCGGCATCTGGTGCTGGGGTTCGAGATGCCATTGCTTTGCTTTGAACTTGCTCTGTGATCCTAGCACGCGAGCGACGAGCGCATTGCGTAGATAAAGGGGAGTCTTTTTTGTGGTGAGTCCGAAAAAGAGAATGCTGGATGCTGCTTGGAGACTTGATCTTGGTTCTGCTACCAGCCTATCCGGGCTAGGAGATTGCTGGCGGAACTTGCCAATCTAATGTGAGTCGAGAAATATGGGAAATTACGATGTGATCTATGTTGGGTGGTCCATTGTTTTTCCCCAGAGGAGAAAGATGAATTAAATAAAGTCAAACTCAACTAGGTACATGTCGAGGGATGGTGGTGGGTGGCTTCAATAACAGTCTAAGTGAGGCTGAGGACGCTGGTTTGTGCTCGAGTCCTACTAGTTAGTCCTATCTCTCTGGGCTGCTAGTCCCGTGAAGGATCCGCACCATTTCATCAGGACTTCAGCGCATTGGCAAGATCAGAAAGCCTGCAATTCATCAGACAGGCGCTGCCTCAAGTGAAACTTTCTCTGTCGAGATTGGCGTAGTAGTTGGAATTTCTTGCAATAGCAATACATCATTCCACCTCGATGAGTACAAGGGCAGTTCGTGGGCGTAAAGTGGACCCCTTGAGATGCTTTACATCGTGACCAAGGGCCATAGAGCATGGTCAGAAGAAAAAGACGGTGAATCTCGCATCATTCAAAGTTCGTAAGTTTTGATCCACCGTACCCGTTCCCCGGTGTCATGGTAATATACAAGACCACATTTTCACATCTCACAGTATTACACGAATGCTTGGATACCAGTGATGGCACGGCCCAGAATGAGACCTATTGCTTAGATTAGTAACCAATGTCCAGTGTTGGGCCACGAGAGCAACTTACTGTGAATATCACTTTGTCCCTCGTACGTCTGCGTCACGAAGAGGTTGGCGACGTGACGTCCAATACCATACTCATCACTGACAGCATTACCACCAAAGATCTCCTGCAGCACGCGCGCATTCTGCAACGCCCGATCGCAGTTCTGGCGCTTGACCATGCTGATCATTTCAGGCGTCGCCTTGCCCTCGTCCTTGAGTCTGCCAACCTGGATCGCGGCGACGGTGCCGTATGCCGCATCTGTCGCCGCGTCGGCCAGCTTCTTCTGGACGAGTTGGTACTTGGCGATGGGGTTACCCTTGAACTGCTTCCGCTCGAGCGAGTACGTCCTGGCGCGGGCGATGCAGTCCTCGAGGGCGCCGATGACACCCAGAGAAATACCGTATCTCGCGCTGTTGAGACACGAGAAGGGGCCTCGGAGTCCTTCAACCGAAGGAAACATGTTTTCCTTGGGAACGGGGACGTCGTCGAGCTGGATCATGCCCGTGATGGAGGCTCGCAGGCCGTTCTTGTTCTTGATGGGCGGCGTCTCGAGGGTGCCGGGCGGGCACTGAGAGCGTTCAACCAGGAACCCTCTGATCTTGCCCGTCTCTTGCAACTTTGCCCAGATCATCAACAGGTCGGCAATGGGCGAGTTTGTGATCCACGTCTTGGCACCAGAAAGAGAATAGTAGCCTTCCTTGGTCGGATGAGGCTTGGCTGTCGTCTCCATGGACCCGGGGTCGCTACCGTGGTTGGGCTCTGTCAGACCAAACGCGCCTAGCATCTTTCCCGTGGCCATCTTGGGCAGAAATCTCTCCTTTTGCTCCTCCGTGCCGAACTCGGCGATACCGCCCATGACTAGCGACGACTGGACGGACATGCCAGAGCGGTAGCCGCTATCGACTCTCTCGACGGCCTTTGTGATGAATCCTCCAGCAACGGTAGACACACCGGCGCACCCATAGCCCTCGATCGTTGCTCCGAGGAGCCCCAGCTCGCCCATCTCCTCGAGGATCTTCTGATCGTATTGCTCGTCGCGGTAGGCCTCTATGGAGAGTGGTTAGTGTAAGCCATGGCAGTGGCCGGAAGGGCAAACATACGGAGGACACGCGGCAGCATGCGCTCCTGGCAGTAGCGCTCAGCAGTCTCAGAAATGGCGACTTCCTCTTCAGTCAAGAGGTTCTTTGCGTTCAAGGGATCCTCCCAGTTGAAGACCGGGCCATCAGAGGCGGAAGCGAAGGTTCTCGCGGCGGGCAAGGTGCGCTTTGCGGCGCATCGTGTCGCGCATGTTCTCAAGGCGTTGCGATACATACTGGCTACTACTGGTCAATTGACTCTTCCTCACGGTGGGTTGGAGAGGAATCGTGCCGCCATCATGGCGGGAATATGGTCTCGAAGCCCGGGCACGGGGCGTCTTCCCCGCCAGTAGCTGTCCCGAGCAGCATCCGAGGCACAACGAGAGTGGTATCTGATTGGCTGAACGGTTGAAGATGATGATTACATAAGACCCGGTGTCGGCGAATGACGTCGTCGCGGGCTCTCTCTCCGTAATGAAGTGAAGCTGTTTTAGATGGAATGTGGCCGAGGTGTTACCTCCGTGCTAGGCAGAACCCGGAATTGGTTCCGAATGGTGTGGTTCTCGAGTGCTAGATACAGATCCCCGGATTGTCGGCTGCAATGAGGCATTTCGGGAGGGTAGTTGGTGGTATGCACAGCCACAACCTTGACCGTGGGAACTGATGATCGCGAGACCTGCCTGAGTCCTGAGCTGCTGCCAGGAAAAGGAAAAAGCCGGAGCAGGGGGTCGAGGACAAGAATAGGAACAGGCTGCGTGCGGATTGGGGTTGAAAGGTTGAAACATGCCAGGACAATGCCTTGGCCCTTTGTTCGGCAGTAGCCAGCAGAGAGTTCAGACCCGGGATGAGATGCTCGAGAGGTACTTGTGTTTTTGGGCACCACTAGGTGCCCAAGTCAGGTACCGGGTTCAGGCGACACATAAGAGCCGGACGTCATTCGCGGGATAGCTGGCGGGCAGTCATGGGATGGCAGATGCAAAATCCAGAGTGCAGAGTGCAGTGATGTGATGTGAGGTGAGGAATTGGTGTTGATGGAAAGTGACCTCCGCGAAGAAACATGGTGAAGGTTGAGCAAGAACGACACATGCTGAACGAGGTTTCAGGTGCAGCGTATCCCAAGAGGATCAGCTGATTCCGGAATCTGGGGTGCTTTCTTGCTCGAAAACTCATGCGTCGTTGTTGGCTGGTCGGCAAAGATGGCCAGACCTAGTTGGGAGAGATGCATGAGATGTCTTTTCTTTTTGCCATCCAGGTAGCTACCCATAATACCACATGTGCAGCCGGTCCGGTCGTCTAGATGCAGACGCTAATACTTCGAGGTTTGGGCTGCTTGTATTGGTAGAAGACCAGGGAACCACTTCGCCCGGGTTGGAAGATAATGAGGCTGAGGCATTTGCTGAGTCACCAGGTGGCACTATCAAACCCGCCACCAGTCAGCAATTGTCATCAGTTAGTGTTGGTGGGAGTGTGGCGGTGCACAGGGTACCTCACCGCTCACCCTTTTGGTGCCTCCAACTGTTCTTCACAATTGGAAGAAAGGGGGTGACAGAACCACTATTTGTTTGGTTTGTATGAAACCTGTCGCCCGGTACCTGAGGCTGATGGATTAGAGTGAACGGCACATAGTCATTGAACAAGGCGAACGCCCAGGACTTTGATGGGTGTCATCGGTTTGTCGACCTTGGAAACAGTACTTTTGAATCCCACGGTGGACAGACGGTAGGTAGGTACCTAGTAATGGCCAATCATCAATCATAAATCATTAGTCACCAGCCACTTGTCCATTTGCTGCGCCTGGCTCCTGCTTCTCTTGACGCTCACAAATCGAATGGAATCCATGGAACGCAATAGGGCATCCATAGATCTGGTCCAGTAATTCGCGAGGAGTACCTCTGAAAGAAAATTAAGAGGAAAGGTACGGGCGGCTACTGGCCGTGTCAGTGAATGATGGAAGTGGATGGTGCCAGCTCGGGGCGAACCTGACGGGACGGGAATGGAAGCCACAACAACCTGAACCTCCACTGAGTTGACGCTGGGCAGCCTCAGTGCCTTTAAGCCTTAGGTTTGGCGCTCTCCTCCCCCTCTCCTTCCCACTTCCTGCCTTTCCCCTCCAAAGTGGCTCCTGCCTACCCACGACTCACCCCTTCCCGTCATTTTTCGCCAGGCCCGACCGCTGACTTCCTTTCTCTCCTTCTTTTCCCTCCACCCCATTTCCATCTCGACATCAATCTGTAACGGGACCGC